TCTGTTTAAAAAACTTTTTTAGTATTCTTAAGAGTACTTACTTCAAGAGCTATTGATTTTCTCCACTATAAATATAATTTTTCAAATTAAAAAACATTATCTAAACCAGTGACATAAATATAAAGGGGATGACAGAAAAAAAAACTTGAAAATCAAGAAATAACTATTCTCTATCAAAATCTTTCATTGTTAATAACTCTTTAAGTAATAGCTCTTTTTTTAAGTATGAGAAAGCTGTTAAATTTACACAGAATTGATCGCCTATTCATTTCAGATATTATTTAAGGAATGGTAAATTTTCTTTTATTGCTTTTTCATCACAGCTTTTTACTTCTGAATCAACCATTTGTTGAACTGAACCAGACAAAACTGGGGAAAAAAATCACTCCCTGCACTGAGTAAACAATTTTAGTTGTCAAAGCCTGGGCTATTCACTGCAAGTTCTGATTTCTGGTACCCAAGTGAGAAACTACACCCTGCCCACTCTATCTCCTGTCTTCCTAACACCAAGCAAGGTCCAACCACAACTTTCCCAAATGAGGCCTCAGATCCACCTCTTCAACAACCTTCCCTATGAGCAGGAACTGCCTGAGGGACAGTGCTTGTCTGAAGGTGTGAGGGCAAACAGTTACAGTTTGTGGCACAGGGCCATCTACACTGGCAGTTTCTGCTCAAAGATAATTCTCATCATGATTCCTAAAAGGACTCCATACTCTCACATTCAGACAACTGGCACCATGTGCTGTCTGTCAGTTGCATGCCTGTATCCCTTTGGAGAATCCTCAGGTCCACTGAAAAAAATTCACAAGCAAGTGAGCAAAAGTGTTGTTGATGGAGGGAAGGACATATTTTCAATACACCCTAAAGCACAATGAGCAAGTGATTTTCAAAATAAACAGGGCAAAGAAGGTGTAAAACAAATTATTCTTTAGATGAACAGAAAAAGGAACCTTTTTATAATGAAGGGATGGAGATTAAAATAATTGACATGCTTTCAAAGCAAAAACTGTTTGAACTTCAAAGCATCAAGTGCAAAACCAATCAGCTTCTATAAAATAAAGCTTTTATCAGCTTGACAAAGAAGTTTTAGCTTTGTTAACTTAAATCAGCTGACAAAGAAGTTAGCTGATTTCATCCACTACTGCTATTACAAAAGTAGATGTTAGGATGTCAGTTTTCATAAATAAGATTGACAGAGTAAGATATCATTCTGCACACTGAAATCTTGAGTTCAAACTGTACATTAGATATAAACTTTCTCTGTGCTAAAAGGACATAAACCACCTATGATTCAGCTCACAGTCAGTCCAAGCTAAGTTGCCAAGTACTGAGAGCCTTTCAGTCTTGGTCTTCAGCAAGGATCACACAACTGAAAGACTGCCCATGCAGGAAAAGGCAACCTTGGAAGACAGAAGGCCCAAATTATTTGATTGGAAATACTTTCATCTGCTTTTGACTGTTTAACAGGTTTGCAATCTGCCTCCAATAGTAACACTAGGCAGTTTCAACTCTGATAAGTTATGTAGTTACTTAGGCAAAGAGGGTGCCTGTCAAGTAAAGTTCCAACAAAGAAAATACCCATTTTTTGTAATATTGCTGAGTATCAAAACAGTCATTACTGTATTTCTTCTTCACACAAATACCATAGTTAGATAAACCCTGAATTCAGAAACTTTGTACCAAAAGATAAAACAAGGATTAAATAATGCTAACAAAAGGTTTTACTCCTTAAGGAAATACAAGTTTAGAGAACAATATTTTCAACATCTTTTTCCAAGGGAGTGTGCTTGTAGATTAAATGCATTTAGAACAAAATTCCAAACTCTACATCAACAATTTCAACCTGTAAAACAAAGACATTTTGTAAAACAAAGCACAAAATTTCCCATTTACAGTATTTTGAGCTCCACTTATACACAAAACCCTTGTAAAAAATGGACTAAGAGGAGGGTGAACTAATCAGGGCTTTGGTGGAACATAAAAACAGAATAAAAAATTATAATAAAGGGTTATCTAGCCCAGAGTACACAGTGGCTGAACACAGATGCCTCAAGATGAATGTGAGAATAGAGCAAACTCCTGTGAACACTGTCAGAGAATACCCTCAAAACACTCAACAACTTACAGTTCAGTAGTTAGTATCTACATGTTTAATCAGTCTTAGTGGATTTCCTGCATGTAAACTTGCCTAGTTGCCCTTTAAGTCCATGTAACCCTTTAGCATCCATAGTGACCAGGACTACCAGCACACAGTGCTAAAGTGGCCTTACCTCCTGCCATTGATTTTTGACTGGATTCCCCACTTTACAACATATATCCCAAAGAGCCTGCAAGGGAAAAAAAAAAACCAACAAAACCAGCCAACAAGCATCTCTGACAAGATGTTCCATCCATGCCATGTGTGCCTCCATATACTTCTCATAACCTCAATACAGGTTTTACTAGGGACAGAAGAGAATTAGATGTTTTCTTAATGGTTTCTCCTCCACACCCATTTTGTTTATCTAAACTAGATTTCATCTGTCACTTAAATGCCCCAACAGTACAGTAAGGTCTTTCTGAAATTCTTCATAGTCAACACAACCTTTAAACCCTGGACAATTTACAAAACCCAGCAAAAAATTCTGTTCTGTTTAATCTATGAACATGCTGAGCAGCACGGACACATGAACTGAACCCTGTGGAACTCCACTGTTTAAAAAACAACTGTTGACTCCCACCTAAGTTTATAGGCATTTATCATTCTTCCTAAAAGGATTGTCTCCCTCGTCTTCCATGACTCCTTAGCCAGTCATGCAAGCAAGAGTTACAGAGTAAGACGTCTTAGGGATATGACAGACATGCTTTGCACGAGAGTACTCCTTCCAAAGGGAAATTCCCAAATTTGGCCACAGATGTCCAAATGCAGGTCTTTGGAGTCTCCCAAAAGACATCTTTCAATCCCTGTATTTTCTAAAGATAATTTAGGACAATATTTTACATTGGTTATTTCAGTATATTACTTTGTTTACTGCGTCTAAAGAGATCACAGAGACACATTATCCAGCATTGTCTGACACATTTTCCCCACCACTTATCTAACTAAGCAGTGAATACTTTTTTTTTTGGAGACATACTCAAAACCATATCCAAAACTAAAAACTGTAAAACTCCAAAAGTTTGGAGACAGGGTTGCCAAGAGAAAATTATACACTTTTATATTACATTTGGGAACCAAGAGGGATTGTTGGATCTTCCTTGTGGATTTGCCAAGATACACCTATCAGAGGGGTTGTGAGACAACATCAGCACTCTGGATGCTGGCTCTGAAAATATCTCAAATATTTTTTTGGCAATGGGACCTAAGGACCTAAGGACCAAGATCTCATTGCCATACCCATTGGAGAAATTTTCTCTCAGAGCAAGTACCCCTCCAAGTTCTTATGTCCCTTCTCTGCCTCTTAATCTTTGATTAATATGGTTGTTTCCTCCTGTATTGTTTTTGCTTTTGTTTTAAATCTTACTTCCTAGCTCTATCCAGGAGCACTGCAGACCTCATGGCTCACATCTCTACACTACTTGGGTGTGGTTATCTTCCATATTCAAACCTTTTGTTAGTATTTAAAAATCTACTCTCTCACCTTGCAAGGTAGAAAAATCCACTGCACCTCATCTTTACTCTAGTACTTCTAAAGGCATTAACTCTTCTTACCAGAAACTGGAGATTTCACATGTTAAAAACCCTTCCTTATGCAATAAACCCAAGACATAGCACCAATAAAGATAACACTTACACAAAGACTACAGTGTCTATCACAAATGGTGGGAGGATTCCAAACAGACCCCAGAGAAGAGTACTAATCCAGGTGACAGGGTTGGTATCAACTGCTATAATTCACCAGCATTCTGCTTTGTTTCCTTTTTTGTTGACTCTAGACGTAGAACCAACACAACAATATTTCCTGCTTTATATTTTTATGATTCTGCACAAGGGTACGTGAAGTCAAGTATAAATGTGATAAGCATACATAAAATTATACCTATTTAAATGAGGCTAGGAATAGTAGCAATAGTGGGGGGGAAAAAAAGTAGCAGCAGATGCACAAGACCTAGGCAGAAAGCCAAGAATATTGTATTGTATTACTATCACCTTTCCTGCCCCTATCAGTTAGGAAGCACAGGTATGCTTTATAGCAGTAACTTTCATTGCATGTCTTTTCTGAAAAAAAATATTCTGCTAAGGCAACCATGTTATTTATTATCTGCAAATTTCCCACATTTATTCAAGAATTTTAATACTCTATCACTGGCAAAACTAACAATTGCTATTTGCTACCTACTCACACATTTAAGTAATGTACTGTGAGCCCTTAAAAAACCCTGTAGTTGCCGCTTTGTTCACATTATTTTCTACCTGCAAATTCAGCATGAACTAACAAATGCATTAGGGGGGCAGAAATTGCACGTCAGATACAGTGTTTTACACCAGACTTCAGTTTTTAAGAACCCGAAGACTTGGGACCTTTAAGTTGCTGGGCAGGACCACCACCAGGGCAGTAGTGCAGAATTAATGAATGAAGATGTAGCAGCTCACTCGCTTACACTGCACCCCGATGGTAAGGACCCTGCTTGCAGAGGCCTGTTCAGGGAATCCTGTCTCGGGTGGGAGTTTTGTCAGCGCAGGGAGAGAATGGCAGAAGGTCTGATGTGGAGGGATGCCGTGAATGAGGTGGCGTTTCGGTGCTCCCGAAGTGATGCCCACCCTTCAGCCGCCAGCACACGGGTACCCTGACTAAAAGCCGCCCGCCCGGGCCAGCGGCCGCCGAGAGGACAGATGCCTCCTCCTAAAAATCATTCCCTTCACCCGGGGATTTCTCGGCTTGGCTGCCGGGGAGCTGAGATGTTTCCTGAAAGCCGCACGGTGTGCCGCGGCCGCTCAGGCACACCAAAGTTTTGCTGCAGGAACACCCAGCCCCGGCCGCCCCCCGCCCGCCCGCCCGGCCCGGCCGGCGCCGCCTCACCGTCCCAGCTCGGACTCCAGCTCGAAGTAGTGAGCTAGGGTGTCCTTGTTGGAGCCATCGATCCAGTAGTCGGGCGCGGCGGAGCCGGGGTGGCTGGCGGCCGAGGAGCCGGAGGAGGAAGATGAGGAGGACGAGGAGGATGAGGATGAGGAGGGCATGGTGACTTTCAGCATGCCGGGACGCCTGCCGGGGGCTGGCCTCTCCTCCGCGCCGGCTGCAGAACGCAGAGCGACAAGACGGCAGCTACACCTCTCCTCCCTCCCTCTTTCCTTCCTTACTTATTTCCTTCCCTCCCTCGCTATCCCCTCCCTCTGCCCTCCTCCTCCGCTGGAGGGGCGGTGTAGCGGGTCCCCAGCCGGGCGGGGCCGGGCGGGAGGGATGCTCCTCCAGCGCCCCCCGCCCCATCCATCCGCCCCGCCGAGCCGAGCGGCAGCGCTGAGCCTGCAGGGAGAGACCCCCGGGGCCGGCCCGGGCGGAGGGAGCGCTCCGAGCTCACCGGGAGCGGGACAGCGGGGGGACAGCCGCCCGGGAGGGGAAATCGCATCCCCGTCCCCGGGCGGGGTGCGGAGGGGCCGGGCAGGATGCGCAGCCCGTAGCGAGGTGGGCGCCGGCCTGCCATGCCGCAGCGTTTTGCCAGTTCCCGAGAGGGAGTTCAGAAATTCTGCCGTGAATTTGGCAAGGAGGGTGTGGGGGCTGAGGCTGAGCAAGGAAAACAGCAGTGGGAAAAAAAGAGACTGACAAATTCTCGAACATGGCTATAAAAATCCCCAAAATACATCTTCCCTTCCCACCAGAGAACTAAAAGAAGCCATAGAGAAATAAGATCGCTGTGCTGCAATGCCACTCTTTAACAGGTTATGAAATCTGCAGGTTATGAAATGCATGTGAATTATACTAAGGCATGCTACATCCCCAACTGCAAGATCCTTAGCCAGAAACATCTATAGAAGGGTCGTTTCTGTTGGTGTAGTGGTGAAATAAAACAGCAGCAGTTGTGTGTGCCTTGCATGCATAGTGTGCCAGGTCAATCCCACTCACATCCTCTCTGTGCTGTTACACCCACTCACACTGCCATGCCCGCACAGGCAGGAGGTAAAATGGACCATGTGCAAACCTGTGCAGCAGAAGGGACGAAGTATTGTCCTCTAATTTTCAACCACGGTTCACTGGCCTGCTTTTTAAACACCGTATTTCTTGCTCAAATAAAGCACAGGATCCTGTTCAGCATTGTGCTAATTCAGGTGTATTGATGTTTTTCCAAAAGGATTTGTTTCCCCTCATAGACAAGTCTGTCTCTTACTGTAACCAGATGGGGCAATTACTCTTAATTCTGAACCTCTTAATTTCTCAAAGTTCTTAACAAAGCAATGCTTCTCTCTGAGTAACCAGATAATAGAAGAAGCATCTCCTAAACTAGTCTTTGTTAGTAGTGGGAAAGGATAAGAGATAAATGAGATAGATAAACAAGAGATAAACCCTTTTTGTCTCAAGTTTACTTATTGTCATTATAAAATTAAACTACATATCTACACTGTAATTTGATATTTTATAATTTTCAAATTCATATTTCAAAGTCAGGAAAAAGTAACTTAGGCAAAGTCCTACGTAGAAAACCAAGTTCCATCCAATACTGTTTGAGTGCAACTCTAAATTTCCTTTGAGATAAATGTCATGCACAGAGCACCCACAGTTACAGGGCTGAGATCAGCACTGAGCAGCAGGCAGTCAGCCTTTTCACTGCTGCTCATGCCCTCTTTCAGCCCCCCAGCTTGCTCTGTCTCTGCTGGTGCATGCAGAGCTTTTCTTCATAACTCTTTGGCTGATAGGTGACACTTTTTATTTTTTTATTTGTTAACAGCATCTCCTGGGAGAAGAAATAGTCACTGATGAAGATGATCTCACACATACATAATGGCAAATCAGCACACTTAGAAGACAGTGGTTTTCCACAATGTATTTTTAGTCAAATATCTAGCGTATTCTGCCAGCCAAAGGGCACGTATAATTCGGTTCTGGTGGGGTTTTTGAAGAAATTATTTTAGTAGCATTATATTTATCCAGGTACCTGCAATCAGATTCATATCTCTAATGATCTAGATGTAGTTACCATGAACCTTCAGCTACTCCTTGCTAAATGACTAGTGGATTTTCTTTTCGATTTTTTTTTTTTTAAAAAGTGGGGTATCTCTAGAAAAGGCATTTTACTTTCCTTGAAACTCTGACTCAAAAGTAAGCTGCACTGCACCATGCTGACAGCCTTGTACTTGAAAACTGACTGGACCTTGTTATTCAGAAGGTCCACATCCTTCAAAATTTAAGATCAGAATATCCAAATGTGTCTATGTGGAATTAAAGAAAGTCTTCAGGTTGCACACTATCTAACCAGCAAAAAAATGCCTCTCAGTCTCATGGAAACCAAAGACAGCATTTCAAATTTGCAGTGCTCCAACTCAGGTCTATGTTAACCATGTGAAGATTTGCACCAACTTTATTGGACATGAAATTAAAACACTAAAAAAAAATCTTTATTTATTTTATTTGTGACACACTATGTACAAAATTTTATAAGGGAGATACAAGGATCATAATTTTCCTGCCAACAAACCCAGGTTACAAACTCAAAGAAAAAAAGCACGTCAAGAAAGAAGCAGTTTATATGGACAAAACATATATGCAAAAGATGTCCAATCTTCTGACTCTCTCCTGTCACCCATAAATTTAAGCCCCAAAGTGGGAATGTCATCTGGTGTTTTGGTGGTAATCTTTCTGCCCTCCTGGTTGCTATAGTCCTGTTTTGTGAATACTCTTGTCCTTTGTACAGACATCACTGCATCAGGTATAAGCAGAACATACTTTAGATGGCTAGATTAAAAGGTAAATGTATGATAGGAACTTTTCAAACTTTACTTTGGAAATTTTCTTGCAATTCTAGCAGTTAGGCCTTGTGTAAGAACTCAAGAAAAAACAAAATCTGTCCTGAGTTTTGAGTAAGTAGTTTCCAGTTTGTGGGCATCATTTGAAAAAGTACCATGTTGGTCCCCTGAAACTTCTGTCAGTATTTCTTCCTGGCCAAACTGCAGCATCTTCTTATTGAAGGTACAATGTGTCCACACCTATTGTAGTAAAGGTAGTGTTACCTACAAAAAGAAAATTGTCACATATAGTCCCCACTAAGGAACATTTCTCTCAAAATGGTTTTTGTGAGAAACAACAATCAATTAAGGTTTATTGAACCTGAAGAAAAAAAAAAAAAAAAAAAAAAACAAAAAAAACCACAAAAACCTAAATAAGGAGAAAAAGCAGTGCTGGGAGAATAAAACTAAACCACGATATGCTCCTCTACAAAATGGGTGCTCTGGCTTTTATACCCCTAGCCAGTCAACTCCTCTGCTATCCATTATCTTGATTGAAGGTCAGGTGTTGGCATGCCGCTTGCTCCTCCTAGTGACAACCCCGCCCTCCTCAAATGCCCCAACAACCAAGTTATAGTTACATATTATATTATTGGCTTTTCACAAATACTAAAATATCTAATGTTGGAAAACTTTGCTATACTAATATAGTTTATTTTATTTCTGTTATTAATAAAACTTAGAAATAGTGGTGTAATACATATATATATAGGTAGTAGGCTGTAGCATGGTATTAAAATAAAGACTGCTTTTGTTCATATAACACAGAGACTGAGAAGATAGTCAGAAACACCCCCCTGCATTCTTGGATTATCTTATCTGGATGAAGATAGTGGTGACTGGAGCTCCAAGGGAGGAATTTATTGAACCTCTGTTATCAGGGACTGTGAGACTCAATGGAGCCAAGAAGATTGATCTATTGGTGAGGGGGGAGTTGAAGCTAAACAAAGGAACATCTAAAACTTAAGAGGAATGTTTGAATCATGCATAAGCATTTATGAATATGCAAGAGATTTCTCTTTTTAAGGGACAATCCTTTGTTAGTAAGGCACCCTCGCTTGGCTGAATGCTGAGGCACTTGGCCGTATTTGTTAATTTTGCTTTATTTCTTTCTCCTAATTGTCTGTTAAACTTTTAAAATTTTATATTAAAAATATGAACCTCGTTTTTCACAATTGGGTGCTGCTCTGGGATAAACACCTCAACTCTGAGACCACTGGGTGATCCTGAGTGGGGAAAAGGCACGGCTTGCCAAGTTTGGTGGATCCCACTCCGTTTCTTCTGGCATGGATCAATGGTTGCAGGTAAAGACCTTGTGGACAAGGAGAGAAATAAAGGAAAGGGAAAAGTCTCCCTAAACCATGGAACTCCGTAATTCTTGTACACAAAGACCTGAAGAAGATAAAAGGATTGTAAGTATTTTTCTGTTTTATTTATTTATTTATTTTTGCTCTATTTCTGTCTCCTAATTGTCTTTCTAATAAAATTTTAAAATTTTATATAAAAAATGTGAACCCTGTTTTTCACATAACTGTGCATCTACAAAACTTCTCTTAACATACACATAATATTAATCCCTTAATTGTGAGAGCCAACCATAGCTTTACTCATCTATAACAGTTTTAATGTGCTAGAGCTCCCTTCTTTACAAAGATGATCCAGTATGGATTCCACATTTCCACCTGTGCTAGACCAGATGCTTATCTGCTATAATTGTAATGCAGATTAAGTCTTCTGAAACAGCAGTTGCTCAAACTGTATCACATGCAAGTCAAAGAAGCTGAGATCAGGGCAACTCCCAAAAGATTTCACTTCCCTTCCCTGTCATTGATTTTTCCCTGCTGAATACAAAGCCTTGCATCATGTTCTATCTTCTGCAACATCTTTCCAACTTGATCACTACGTAAGCTTCAATGCATGCCTGTCACTTGGGAATGCTAAAAACTTCTGTAAATTTATTTATTTTCATTTTTGTATTGGAAGCCTTTTTACTTGCATTGAATAAGTTCATCACAGTCTCTTAATTTACTATCATCTTTCATGCTGTTTCATGTGTAAATCTAAGTCTACTTAAAGATTTATAGAGCTGATGGACTTTCATCAGCTGTGAACGTGAAGAGTTTAAATCAGGTGAGAATTAATGCAGTGCTGGGTGAGGCCAGCAGAATAGTGATGTTGGGTTCGGAGGTGTCTTTGCGCAAACAACAAAGAGGGACTGACTGACCCTTTGCAGAGTGGCAGTAGAGGTGAAAGAGAGTAGC